TACGATTATTCTATAATTACCTGATTACTTTCTTCACTTGCGTCTTTCTGTTTATCTATTGTGAGCAGGCAATGATGGTATTGTATGTTTCTSTTTGACCAGGAACCAATGACCAGAAAGGGAAGATAATGGGAATATTCCGATCAATTGGTGCCATGGCGCGCGCTTTTGGTCCATTTGTATTTTGCTCAGGTAAGTGGTACACCTTTTTAACACTTGTTAATTYTTATACCGTTCTTAAGATTATTTATAATGCGYAGGAACGATTTCTTAAACGGTGGTAACTCAAGTATTTGATGGTKTTTATGCGTTGTTAACCATTAGAACTTTTCTTTCAGCGTATTGGCTTGTAGGAGCGTTTTGGTGCTACTTAACTGGAGCTCTTATATTTATTGTTCCTCTYGTCATTCTTATGAAGAATATCCCCTCCAAAGATGATATAAAGAGCAGCAAAGACTAGTTAGATATTATTATAAAACATAATGATAATGATGATTTCTTTGATATATAAAAGCTGTTCTTATTGTAGTCTCCAATTATTCATTCATATTTTTCATTCAATTCAAACAAGTATTTTCATATAGTTTTAGGAATAATAAGTAATGCTGTGGAGACGGCACGAAAACTCACGGAACAAACGTAACATCTAATGGTCAAAGTTGTAATAGATGAATGAATATAATAAAAAGGTAGTGTTCTTTTTCTTTCTTTTCTGCCTTCTCTTTTTTCTTTCCTTAATAACCATTCTTCACAGGCGTTATTCTAGCTAACTTAAAACCTGTAAAATCCATTACGATCTGACAGTTTGACATATAGAATGACAAAAACGAGTCCGAGGAAGGATAATGCTGTAACATTCTATCATTTTCAACAACTGGATGTCCGTTATGAAATGATTTATTTATTAAACCTGTTGACCTTAACACACCTTAACACATCATGCCCATTGATCCATCACTTTAAAAGTCCATTTTTTATCAATCAGTGTTGAACAATTATGATTTACGGGCCGCATTTGAAACTAAAAACTCAGTAGTGGTTATAAATGTAGTTAATTGATTAGTGATGACAAAGATCTCGATTTTTATGCAATTACTGGCGATTTTGATCGGAACGGAAGGCACAACTTTTTTATCAAACTATGATCAGTTTGATGAGGCAACAAGACGAAGCCAAGAGAGGTAAGAATATAGATCGACATGCAGTGTCTAGTAAATGTGGGCTACCAAAGGATACCGAACTACAATAACTAGCAACATCATAATAACAACTGTGGATTTTAATCGATCTTCTTCAAGTCATCAACAGTTGCTCATAAATGCGTAAACATCTGTTAGGGAGTTATTGATTTTACGTTAAGGCGAAATCTTAAGCTGCCAATGGGCGTTTCCCCTTTGCCTAGATTCAGATTGTGCGCGGGCCTTGTCACTTTTCTATCGTTCTTCTTTTTTGATACAACATAGTCATAAACCTGTGAACTGATACTCTCACTTGAGTTTAAAATCCGTGAACAATCATCTAATAGACAAGGTCTGACAGGAATTTTTTGTCGTTGCCATACTCGCATAAATCCGTGAAACGTACACTAATAGACGACATGAAGTAATTTYCATAATCCCATTMAAAATTCTTTTATCACAGTTCCAACAATTGGTTCATGAATGCAGGAAWCYATACTATCTACCAGACTCCGGCACTTCATCGGCTTCGCACAAAGATTCTTGTTGGACACTCAGTAACCATGGTAACTATTGGAGGCTCAAATTCTGCAGGAGGGGGAGTGGATAACCTGGCAGAAATTTACTCAAATCAGCTTGCTGATTGGTGGAACATAGCAGTTTACAATAAAACTGGATCCAGAATGACGTCATATAATTTGGCCATTGGCGGCACTGGAAGCGACTTCTTTTTATTTTGTTTTCAAAACTTTTTACTACAGGAAGCCCATCTACCAGATATAGTGCTAGTTGAATTGGCWGTCAATGATCTTCACATTCGTTCTGAGTATGGCAAAGCAGCTGTACCAATGGAACTTCTTACACGCAGGCTGTTATTACTACCATCAACTCCATTAGTTATTTATGTTGATTTGATAAACCCAAATATTGTTAATGGTAAAATARGAAACACAGSGTGTGTRARCATGGAGGATTATGGGTTTAATGAGCTTGCAAGGAACTATGGTATACCTGTGTTTAGTATAAGAGACATTGTCTGCCCTTTAGACAGTGACAATAAAAGAAAACTTGGCAACTCTAAGATTGACCTGTTTTCTAGAGATAATAATCATGTAGGTTACAGGACGCATACACTGCTAGCATCACTAATGATGAAATATTTCATCAAGGTAATTCATGAAATTCCTCCAAAGGTATCTCTTTGGCCACTGAAAGCAAAGCAACTGTTTAGTAGCTCTTCAATTAGCAATAAGCAAATTACTGATATGAAATGTTTTTCATACTTATTACCAAACTGGAAAGTACCCTTACAGCAAACTCTACATGCTCAGGTGGTCAGATYTGACAACTTTAACTACCGCTCACCATTTGAAGGGCGATGGSTTGGGAAAATGCGCACAGATGCTTCAGGTGGTTGGTTTGCAAATCCAGGRCTTGTTCATCTTGAAGTTCAGTTTTATATCCCAAGCAGCCAATCAGAATCATCTACATTGCACTCAGTTGTTGTATTATTAAAATATAATGAAAACCTTCCACTATCCTTAAAGATATGGTTGAACGATGCAAATAGGAGTTGTACTCAAATGGTCATCTTAAGTGATGGTCCTGGTAGAGCAATAAATCAAGTATTTCCTGTCACAGGAGAGGCATTGCCTGGTAACTATACACTTACTATTCAAGGACATGTCAAATRCTTGCATTTCCTTGGTATGGCTGTGGGATACCCTGGTTTCTATGGATACCAAGGCTACAAAGACATTAATGGTGCAATAGGCATTTGCAACTGGAATGTAAATACTGATCAACAAATACACTATATGGTGTCATAATTATAAATTTTATTGACAA